TTCTAAGGAAAAATTGTCACAAATCGGCACGATTGATATATCGATATATCGACCTTGCATTACGTGATAATTACACGCTACTGAATACTCTTTAGGATATGATCACGATCACTTGCAATTATGCATTGGTCCGCTGTATTAATTAATCATTAAACATATATGGTGTATAATAACGAATATAATTTTGCTCGATATTGATATAACTAGGGATAATTACGTAGCTTAAAGCGAAGCTTGTTAGTAATGATTAATTATTCGTTCTGATAATATCATGTTAAAAGTGAAAAATCTTGTGTATACATTCCAATTCTAATTCTATTGTATTCATATAAATGGTAATATTTTGTGAACGAGGCTTAATTCTAAATAGGCATGAAATTTCAATGAAAACGTTAAAAAGATGATGAGCATCGAACAAGAATATGAAATTTAAATGAAATATACCGCGAATTAAAAAATTATGTACATTAAACAACAGAATAACAAATTATAATAATAATAATCATGGATGATTAATATAAATTACGTAAATTATCCTTTAAGACGAGTTACGTGCGAATTGGCATAGAATTGAATTGTCTCTAATGTCGATGCAATTTTCCTTTTGCATTTTTTCCTGCAAAGATATCATCAATAGAAGAATAGACTAATAATAGGAGAATAGATTACGACAATCTTTCAGCTCGGTGCATCGTCGTTGTAAAGTCTTTGTTAACATCTCAACCTTGGCGACTTTCACGTACACGCAGCACATTGCCCAATCTATTAATTCGACCCTGACGAATACTACCAGTTCGAGATAGGAACACAAAACCTGTTTTCCAATGTCGTTGCATAATCGTTGCAAGAAAACCGTTCGTTCCACGATTATTCCTGATATAAATCGTAAAATAAAACTCTCAACAATTTCTCGCATAATAATCATCTGAACTCGATTTACAAAATGATATACAAATATTAGCATCGATAGTTTGCTTTATGTTATTCCGCGATGGATTAACTTTTTCGTTTCGAGTTAATTACAATTTTCTCAAAATCTGATACGAGTACCTCGAATTAACGAAATGAACAAAATTGTAAATTTTGGGAGTTGTAAATTAACGAATTTTAAAAACATTCGAGTTTTTCGTCCATAAGATAGTGATATGGAAATGAGGCACAGAGAGGCCGTGTTTTTTTTTTTTTTTTTTTTTTTT